TAGATATATAGCGGGGACTTGATCGTGTAAATATTATATCATACAGTGCGTATACGTACATAATATTCCACGCTTGAGAAATTAATTATATTATATTATATCATAGTATGTCAATATGCCACTTAAAGATTTTATGAAGAATATTTTCAAGTTATATTTAATTTCTTTTTTGTTATTACAATATCAAATAAATTTAGCAAACAATGTAAAACGTAATATTTATCATATCTTCCATAATTAGAAAAAATATTATCTTTATCACATAATGTAAATTAAAAAAATATTATCTTTATCGCACAATGTAATCGTTCTGAAATTGCAAAATCGGTACAAATATATCTTCATCATCAGTCGATCGATTGATTACGTCATTTTTGCAGTAATAATTTAAGAAATTATATATTGACTGCGTTACAAAATTGATTGCCAGTACTGGAAATCTGTAGTGCACGTAAACTATAGATTTTCAGCGTTGTCAATCATGGCCCTAACTGACAAGAGAGATAATCTTCATTTGTTAATAAGTCATTTCGTTTTAATAATTTTTTTGTCTTTAATAACTTTAAGACCAAACAATATTCGTACGATTTTTCCTTATAAGCGGCATAACATTTAGTATAGCTAATACGCACAATCAATAATGTTTACGAGCTTTACGAGTACTCGTGATGACCGTTCGCAATGAGCCACTCCTCAGCTATAAACATACGCGTACATTGAAATTCTTATAACGGAGCGATGCTTAATAATGGAATATGCAGTGATGCCCCACTTTGTTATAAATTAGTGTCACGTTAATATGTATCATATCGCGAAATGTGTCACGTGTATGCGCGATGTGTGATCTGCGAAATGTGAATCTTTATTGATGTAGTTTGGGATACTTGCACTAATTCGCGATGGCAACATTCTGCTCGAACACAATGACTCACGCGTTCGTTCGCATATTTCTAGTGTAATGATACTTGACGTTACATCTTTTCTTCTCTTCAAAATTCGGGACATCAATGTTTCTTCCATTGTGTTCTCTCGCTCGTGTCTTGCCACGAGTGATATCTGTTCGATAACATTAGTTAATCAAATTTAATATTAGTGAAACCTACATTTTCACGACACAATTGAAAAGCTGTATACCAGAATAGAATTTCTGATAGGTTGAAATTTGTTATTTAAGTAAATTTAAGTTTATATATATTGTATATTCTTACGTTATAGAATAAATCTTTACCTGATGTTAAAACGCACGATGCTGGTACCATAGTGATTTGGCGCGGAACTGATGTGCTTCATCACATTTTATTCTAGATTTAAGAATTTTTCATTTAAGAATAAAATAAAATATTCCTTTTTCAACAAATAAATCTGATTATTCCTATATCGATCCTATTTTATGATAGATCAAAGAATAATAGCATTGGATTCGGAAATCTTTTCTATAGGTGTATACCTATCTCATATTTTTTCATCCGGAGACTACAACGCGACCTTGCGATTTCGATTCTTCAAACGGATTCATTCACGACCGTCCTGAATATCATTAGTGTCTTCCTGTATCGTTGAGAGATCATTCGATCGCAAAATGGTTAACACATAGCAATTATTTATTCGTACCACGACGTCTCGACTATTAACACCTCTCGATTCCCTGAACGATCGAGAGTGCGCATATCCGCGTTCCTTGCGACAACGGAATCGTCCTAACCGGAAATTTACGAGTGCGAAATAGAGTATAAAAGAGCGCACTTGTTCTCATAATCAAGTCGCATATATGTATATAAATGACATTGGCATTGATCTTGTCTGATGTTAATTTCGAAAAAGAAGAAAGGATTGTTCTCGTGGTTTCGATCGAGTGAAAAAATCGTGCGCTACTGTCTGAAAAAATTATTTTAGTAACAAAGCTCAACAACAGTAAATATTCTGAAATAAACAATTTTTAAGAAGCAAGCTATTATCCGAGAAAGGTGGTCGATTCGTTCGTCAACTTTGTTACCAAGAAAGCTTTGCACGATCTCGACCGATGTCCCTATTAATGCTGCATTCTTCGACACTGGGTACGAGTTTCTGAAAGAATAAACAAACTTCGGTCCCGTCCTCCAATTCCTACAATGCAACCTATAGCTTCGAAGTATTGATAAGGCCCCTCTTTACTTTGCGAAGCCAAGCATTCCTGTCGTTTTTAAAGTGGTCCCTCTCGCTCGGTCAATGTTTATAAACAATCGTAGGTGTAGTCGATGAAATGCTAGCACACATATTTATATTAACCGTTTCCTCTGACAATGAGTCATTTATGGATGGAAGCAGGAGACCGATTGATTTGTCAGTATAGTGGGACTTTTCGCTCCGAAAGGGTTGTTCTCCGAGTTTCTTGCCAAGTATCTGCGGCCTCTTTCGCTTGTGATAAATAAACGAAGTATTTTTTTCGGCAATGTTACGTTTCGAATTGTTTCTTTGATTGAAGTGGTGCGGAGGATAGTTAATATGTAAAGCAAACTATCGTTGTTATTATTTCCGGGAAAGTTATAATAGTTGGCAAAAAGTTATTTGTTTGAAAAATAAAAAATGGAGAGTATCATCGAAATAAGTTTAACCGTAGTCAATCAGTGAATTCATATAGTGGCACGTTATTTGATTTTGCTTCTTTTAAAGAACAAAAAGAAAAGCGGTTCCTATCGATGATGAGATTTATAAAATTAAAATTTGCAAATTAAGCAATCAATTTTGTTGCTTGTGCATATTTCATATATTCGCATAATGTATATTTCTCAATTCAGGTAATATTAAACAGAGACGCATCTCTTAAACAGCCTTTGTCAAGTTTAGAGTTACAACTAGTTGCGTATACGAGTTGCTATCAAACGTTCTCTTCTCTGTTTTGTCAATAGAGCGGCATCTCACTCGTGTTAATAGTGATCGTCACTGATACTGATATTGATGTCATTAGTATACCGTGCCGTTGTGACAAAGCATTAGTATATACGATCGTTAGTAAACTTTATGTTTGTGTTCTGATCCGATAACTTTATTCGTTAGTTTCTCATTAGTACAATGTATGAACGCGCCGATATGTAAGTATATCAGAAAAATTAATCGTCATTCGTCATTTCAAAAATCATGTTTACGAAATTATATATTATATATAACGAAATTAATTTTAAAGCTATTTAAAGGTGGACAGAAATTTTCAAGGGTTTTATTACCGCACGGAGCTCGTTTTACTTCTATATTTTCTTATATATTTTTCTTTGTAGAAACCGAAAAATATGAGCGACGAACATAAGACTGAAAAAAGAAAGCTTATAATGAACAAAGCAAGCTTTTTCAACAAACGACTGATATCAAAAATGATTTTTATACACAAACAGAATAATAATTTAAGTGTAAAAAATGACACGGAACTTTAAGATCCCTTATATACTTCTTTTATTTTCAAGACTTGATGCTTCCCCCTCTTCATTAGCGTCTATTTAGTGTCCTCTCGTATTATTGTTCGACATACCTATGTATATTCCTCATTTGATTTATGACAAGCGTACTAGTAACATCACAAGGTACGTCCACCTGTGATTTATATGTAAGTACTCTAATTGATGTGAAATTTGCTATTTTAATTTTACAAATTTTAATTTATTGTGTTATCGTTTTGGTAAATCTAGTAATTTAATGGATATCGTTTGGACTGTTTTGTTGATGTGATTCAATATTTAACGTTCCAAATCGTTGTGACCAATCCTTACGCGACGAGTAAACGTTTTTAATTTATACACTGTCATCAATCTATTTGACACATTAGAATCCAATTAATGTAAAAATTGTTAACTTAATTATTGAGGAGGACTCTAACCGGGGGGTTCAAACGTTTAATTGAATTTTTGCAAACACATACGATACATTTTTAGTTTAGTTAGTTATCATTGTAGTCCTAAAAAATTGCAACGTCTATTATTAAATTGTTATTATAAAAAGTGACAACCTAGTAAATCTGTCATTTCCTGCGTAAAACTAAAAAACGTTTATATACGCTATCTACACTAAAAAATCAGTAACTAATTGAAGTAAAGTCCTATCTTCCGCAAATACTGCCAAACCCATGTGTGAATTAGATACTGTGTGTCTCGTAACATTGGCACGGCAGTCGATGTAAAGTAAACGGTAATGATTGATAAAACGCACAAAAAATCGAATCTGACGGAGCTGGCTTGAGATAATGTTTCCGTGAATCACGGACGGTATTAAAAATAAAACATTTCCATAAAAAATGCAAAGTGATTCACTGTTCGCCGTACTGATAAAGAATAGATTTTTTTTAAATGCAGCGCGGAAATTAATGAAGTGGCATCCTTACCAAAATCATAGTTTTGTTACCGTTCTGGATTATTTGAAACAAAAGAGGAGATTTTTTAATATAGTTTTCCGTTTATTAGGTATAACTAAAAGTAGATTTTAAAAAGGAGTGCTACCTTTATATCTAATATTAATATCAATAATTTATTTGATGTCTTTTGACCAGTACTAGAGTTCCTAATATTTATAAATTAAAAAAATTTTTTTTAAATATTTTTTAAAAATTTATAAATATTAGATAATAACTAGTCTCTAGTACTCGACAAAAGACATCAAATAAAGAATTTAAAATTATTTAGTGCCAATGTTGGGTATAAAGTTAACATCCCACTTTTCAAAGTCCACGTTTATTATATATATAATTCTTTAAATTCTTTAAAACTCTTTGGAACTCTTTAAAAATGATCAAGAAATTTTTCTTTTGTTCTGTTATAAATATAATCCAAAACTCTTAACAGAACTACGATTTCAAAACGTAAGGGTGTCAACTTTACACGCTCATGGCAATGTGCCATGCGTTAATAAGGTAAAAATAATACTGGAATTGTGTTTTTACTTGCAATAGTTCTGTCTCATGAAGAAATTTGAATAACTAAATTTTTTTTCTTTACACGCGTCTTAATGCCTAAATACAATTTTATTCATTGTATGTATAGGGGGCAACTCACAATTCTCTCGCATCCAGACTAAGAGTTGGCGCGAAAAATCTCAAGGACTACAGTGTAAAATTTATTCCAGAATCTTGATTTCACCATTGACTACGAAGACTTCACACAAGGATCTCGCAGATATGTCTCAAATCCCTCTTATGGTACCTGAGAGTGGTTTGCAAGTCACAGAGGATCAAAATATCGTGATACTTGAGGTATATTCTAAAGATAAATACTAATTTTTTTAATAGAGTTAAATATAATTTTCAGTATAAAATTCATACAAGATGTTTTTATTTATATAACGCGATTAATTAGACATTTGAGTGTTCGTAAATAAAATGAATTCTATGATACTAGCAAAAAAAGTACATTTATATACTTTTATATTATATATTTCCCCAGTAGCACATGTTAGTTTCATATACGTTTCTTAAACGTTTGTGAAACATTAGATACGTTTAGAAAACGTATATAAAACGTATAGGAACCAATAGGTGTTACCTGGATTGGAACTTGATTAGATGACGATGTCGTATTTGGATGGCGCTAATTATAGAAAGAAGTTAAAGAATCAAAACAAGAGATCTAAGGAACAGTACGAGAGTAGATTGAAAAGTTTTCAACCTGATTAAGAAACATTTTTTTTAGCTAAATAAAATTTATTTCTCAACATAATCCAAGAAAGTGAAACGATGGATGTATAATTAATTCATACTTCAGTTCGTACAATTTTGCCATCGCAAATCCGTAACTGCTGATCAATAGTGAGCAAATGCGGCACTCAATGTGCGCTTAGCGCTATCTCATACCTAATCTCTCATTAAAATATTGCGTCGATAATATGTATCAACAGTCTCCACTACTTATCTCAAAGTTAATCGACGATTGTTCGCCACGATTTGGTAACAATCGATCATTTTATCCGTTGTTACGGTCTTTGGTCGTCTTTTGGAATAATCATTGTCAAAAATGCTTTTTCTGCCACGTTTGAATTCAGCAATCCAAATTTTCACAGTCGTAAATGAAGAAGCAGCATCTCTATACAATAAATCTAATTCAGCTTTAATTTCCATAGTTTTCCCTTTCAAATGAAGGAATTTTATCATAGCGCGATATTCCAATTTCTCCCTCGATTTCCTCATTGTCACTTTAGAAGGCTATCAAAAACTAATCGCTAACATGACATCAAACTTAACTCTTTGTATTTATTTCAATGTCATCTGTTGGATAAGTATTGAAATTTGAATGAATCTTGCTCTTTCTTGATCGGAAATTTTTTAATCTACCGTATATCGAGGAGGGCAGAGAGAAGAAAAAAGATTAAATAAAAATTGAAGATTGCGCAAAGATAACAAGTAGGAATTTAACTGCGAAGTATAGGTTTAAATAAAAGTTAAAAAATTAATAGAAATAGAAGGAAGAGGATTAAAATTGTAAGGAAAGATATCTAGAATAAAAAGAAGCAGGGTAGAGATAAGTAAGGTATATGGGAAATAGATAAGATAGGAATAACGAGAAAATATTGTATACACGCCGAGATTGGTACATTATAGGGATTAGATTTAAAAATAGACAGTATAGAGAATGGATGGATGTATAAGAATAAAGAAAGGAGTGTAAATCTCCTTCTTGATTTATAATTGATTGAATTGATAAATGCTGAAGGAAATAAAGATTCTTCTTCTATTATTATATATTTTTGAAATATTGCGTCTATATATATATATATATAATGTCTTATTTTTAATATATACCATATTATGTCTTATATTTTAATTATTCTTTTTTTTTAATTACGAAGATCTAAAAATATAGGATTATTTTTCTTTATAAAAAAATATTAGCACTACATAATCGAACTTTAATACTTGCTAACATGAAATCTATTTAGAATTACATACTATCATTCGCATATACAAATACGCTGTAATAATAATTGTAACAAATTATGTAGGCTGGATTACCCGGCGATTCGTGGACATATTCCGTCGAGAAGGAACGATTGGCCAGAAGATCAGAATGGTTTCGGGCAATGTTTACTAATTTAGAACTTTCGTTCGCTCCTCCATTGACAGATTCGCCGCCGTTAGTGCGATTGGAATATGTTGACAAGCGAGCATTTGATCACTTTCTCAAGTAAGTATTAACTCTTCAAAAATACAATATTTTCTTCTTATTAAAAGAAAATAATCTTTCGAAAAAATACAAAAACCGAAAGATATATCAGATAAAATTTTTCATATAAGAATTTATATAAATATACAGTTATATAGATACGTATAAATTATGTATGTACATAATATTATGTGATTATACATATATATATATCCATTATGTGTTTTTTCTTTTTGTATATTTTCTGTTCGCTTGTATAAGAACAATCATAATAATAAGAAAAAATAAAAATAATTATAAGGAATTAATTTTTGCATTATCTTTTATAAAAAGTGAAGAAATAAAAAAATCCAGAAGGTTAGATGGTATCGAACATCTTAAATTTTTTCGAGATTTCATTTTTTTGGATAGCGAAAATTAAATACACATAGCAAGCTTATCTTTACAGGACTTTTTTTTCTTAGTTTATCGATCCCGAAGTTTTGACATTTAAATTCTGGACACCCTGTACATACACAATATAAAACATTATTCTTATACCAAAACATCTCTTTAATTGTATTTTTATAAAAATAAAAACAGCCGAGATTTTTAAGTGTCATTATATTTTCTTGTTTTTGTAAATTGGTACTATCGGATAAAAAATTAAAGAAAAAACATATTTTTTAATAATTTTCATTATTGTATAGTTTTAATGTTATCTCCTGTTTTGGTTCAATAGCTTTTAATTTATCTCCTAATGTACCTTTCAGAATATCTCTTATTTGCCTTTCTTATTGTCATTTCCTTATTTCTTACTTTCTTAAAAGCTATTATCACACTTTCTTTTTTCCATTTACCTCGTATCTTCCTCATATTTACTTTTTAATTAAAACAGTCGTCAGAAACTAAGACCAATATTCGCAGTCGATTCTTATATATTTCAAATATATAAGAATAATTGATTTTTATATTTGATTTTTATTTGTCTTAAATACAATCTTAAGCTCCAATACCGCCCGTCATATCTCATTGTCATTCGAATGCACAACAAAAAAACAACTATAAAATGAGCAGCTTTAAAATAAAAAAAATTTTTTATACACAATTTTAAGAATATAATTAATATATATTTATACATTTTTTAAATATTTTTTTATAGAATATGAGCGTTCAAAAATAAAATTCTAAAAATATAAACAACAATGCTGAGAAACGCAATAGAATCATAGAGAATAATTCTCCTTTTTAAACATCATAACATACATATTTTATTTCTATCGGTTCATTTTGTTGCATAGATATCTTCATGACGAGCCCGTCAATTTTATATCAGTAACAACGGCCAGGGTCACGCTCGATGCAGCTCATCAGTACCTTTGTCCTGGACTCGCGCGACTCGCCGTAGTGTATCTTGAGAAGCATCTCACACCATCGACCGTGCTCGAAATTTATCAGGGTCTTGGATTCTACGCGAACGAGCTACGGGAAGGTGATTCTGGTTTTGACAGATCATCAAATTTGCTATCGACACCATCATCGCCCGGAGACGATGCCAGTATAATAGGTGCGCCATTGATCTTTTTGGAAACAGTTTCGCGGCTGCGTAGATGAATAAAAATGAAATGATATTGGTACTAAAGTATTTGAACGGTACGGAGAAATTGATTCATAATTCATTCACATTGCAGCTGCTATGTGCACCGATCTCCTGCTCAAGTGCTTGACGGTAATCGATTCGAATCCGGTAAAGGTGCTGCATCAGGAATACTTTGAAGAGCTCACTGCCCAGGAAGTCGCCCAGTTAGCACATCGCGACACTCTGAATATCACTAGCGAGTCTATCCTGTTCAATGCGTTAGATAGATGGGCCGCAGCCGAGTGTAGAAGACAAGGCGTCGAACCTCTGCCAGTCAACAAGAGAGCCGTGCTCTCGGATGACGTCTGCTTTAGCGTGCGGTATCTTCTTATGAATGACCAAGAATTCGTCAGCGGCCCTATGGCGAGTGGTATCCTGACTAACGAGGAAAGCGTTCATATTGTTTCTAAAATACTCAGACATCCCGAGGATCCGAAAAATGAGAGCGTAAGCATGCGTATTCTAATCGAGCGAATATTTCTTCATTATTCTATCTGTCTAAACTTCTAAAGCTATTATGTAAAGATACCAATTAAATATGTAAATTTTTATTTTGTGTGCCTGTTGTGTTTCGTATTTTATATCCGATTAATTTTGCATTTAATAATAATATTGATCGTAGAAGATAATAAAGCTTACAGGAAACTTTCCTTTAAAAATTTACAGATTCGGAGCAGCGCAGCGGTCCATCCATCTAGATTATCCAATGCGCCTAGGATCGCATATAAACGCGAGAATCAGGACTGCAACATGTTAAGGTCGGGTAAAAAGGAACGACAAGACAACCGAAAAAATAGAAGAAGAGAGTGTGCTAGTCAAGGACACAGAGCGTGCGCTAGAATAGGAAATTGTCTTGTACGAATTCTAGCTTGCGTGTTTGATTAAACACTGCACCATAGAATCATAATCGCAGAACTTCCAAATTTTCTCGAAAAAGATATTCGGTTGTCTTTCTCTGCGTGATTTTTTTTTTTCGGTTACAAATTCCGCCTGAGAATTCAAGATATGAAATAATGCATATTAAAAAGCCTGAAGAATATCTAATGATCGTCTAAGAAATAATGATACACACGCGTGTATCTACATGATCAAGTCAAATCCCCAAAAGATATTTAGTATAACTGCATAATTAAGTAGAACTTATAAATTGTAGATACTTACTGCTCCTTAATATTTTTATGAATGCAAAAAGACACAAATAATTTCTATCATTATCGGAATATTAAACGTATCACGTCAGCTAGTTGAAATCTATATACATAGGTAATATTTTTGAAGATAATAGAGACTGAAATACTGAAATGGACGTTTTTTAATATTTTTAGAGGATATTTACATCTCCGGCGAATTTTTATCGGTGAGACACTATTTCAAAGTAACGAAGAAATCGCGCATGAAAATTGAGATCATGTTTTATGCCACTTCCATTATTATTATAAACATTTTGTTGTTTTGTTATATATATTTGGGGAGATATTTTATCTTGTTTGCAATTTTGCGCAAGATCTGTTGCTATTACAACAGTAGGCTTTCGCTACAGTCGTTAGACGAAGTAAAGACTTTCGCTATTACGAGATTATGCATTTTATATATTTTACGAAAAAACGACACTTTAAAATTTTTATTTGATCGTCGGAGAAAAAACTTTATTTATACGCATATGAATTATTAATGGTCCAACTATAACGTACCTTCTTCATAAGCGCCTTTCCCAAACATTTTTTATAATTAAAATGTTCGAGAGTATTGTCTTTGTTATTCTAAATACGAGACCTATTGAGTGTTATTATGACGTCTTCGTTGTGTTCATATTTGCTGTTCAGAGTATATTATAATCTTTAAATTAATTATTTGTATTTTATATAGTACGTAGACCTGTGGCTGAAAATCCGAGGGTTGACGCGTTCAAGGATATACGTATAATATTATTTTATAAGTCGAATTTAGAGTTATTTATCTATCAAATATTTATCTATCTGATACATCCAATTGATTTTTGCAAATTTTATCTTTCTTATTCATTTAGAGTCTCTTTTTGAGAATATCTAAATATCTATCGCAATGAATATAAATGTGATCACAAGTTGGATACTTTAGGGAAAAAGTTTCTGAAATTAACTTATATGTGCGATAAAAATATGACGTTATTGAAAAAACAAAAATTATTTTATATTGATGATCAATTGGTAAATTTTTATTTCGACTTCGTATGAGACATCGATCATAATATGTCATATACAATTATTGTTTTTAATCGGATTATTGACGTATGTATAACAAACTTATTCTTATAGCAGTGTGCTTCGATAGAGTTACAGACTGATCATGCGGCCATACTTATATTTAAAATCTCTGTGATTGATGAGAGAACGGAATTGATTGAAACGAAAGAATTCAAGCGGTTTTCGATACGTCTCTCCCCTCCCCATTATTTACTTACAATATATTGATATTATTTCCTACTTTTATTGTAAGTCTAATTCAAGTGCGATTATATAAGTAATGTAAGTTCAACTTTGTAGCGAACAATAGTATTACGATAAATTATGTGAATACTAGTCATACGGATTTATTTTCCAAATAACTCAGTTACCAGATGTATTCTTTATTTCTTATATATAAAAAATAAAATACAACACATAGGCGAAAGAGAATGTGAAATACATAAAATACCACAATATAAAATAATAAAATGTTGTAATTATAAATTGATATTTAGTATGAAATATGTCATGTAGAGGAGAGAGAGAGAGAGAGAGAGAGAGAGAATTGTGGAATGAAATCTATAAGGAAGTAATGTTAATAAAATAAAAAGAATATTGAATATGCAATCTCCTGCACTAATAAAATTGTTAGTAATTAATTATAGTTGTTAATAATGATATACTTAATTTAAAAACCGTTTCAATAAAATTTTTCCCACGATTTTTCAAATAATATTTATACACACTTTTTAAATATACATTATTTATTTATTTATCTCATTAGATGTTGCTATATCCAGTAATTTATCGGCCATTTCTTGAAAACGTTCCCATTCTTCACAATGCGATAAGAGCAGTAAGCTAAACTTTTCGTAGCCATAGAAAGCACCTGCTATTGCACCGGCCATACTAGCAATCGTATCCGTATCGCCCCCTAAAGAAATCTATAAAATAGTAACAAAGACATGGTAATGTAAACGGCATTTTTTAATATTTTGCTATATATATATATAAAATTGATAATAAATATTTAATCTATTATATAAGTTTCGCTACGAAACGTATCATATAATAACTTAAGATCAACTTACGGCATATTGAATTACTCTTCTGAGAGGATTATCAGTTCGTATCTTTTTTATACGTCTCTGTGCTTTCAGAAAGCAGAAAATCGCGGTAGGAACCGATTCTAAAGCTCTGACATTAACACCCAGTTCTTCAGCTACCCGTTGTTCATTAGGAGACACAATAGTGTCAAGATTATCTCCATCCTCAGAAAGTAGATTCTTTACTATGTTTAGTCGCTCTTTATAGAGTTCGCTATGATTTACACGCTATAATTGATATCTGTCTAAATGTAATAATGTGTAATATAATATAAAATGTACCTTGTATCTCCTTCAATTTTGTCCATTTTATTTATGAGATCGTCAACAAAGTTGGAAATGTTCAATTCTTCACTGGGATTTAAATGTAAACTTTGTTGAATTGCTATAGCCTGTGATAATAATGGACTTTAACAACAGATATCTATTCATAAAGATATATATATATATATACATACATGTATATATTATATTCTTATTGATAAAATTAATTTATAATTACTTGTAAAATAGCACCATCTATCCCTAACTTGTGTGCATGTGTAATTTCCGTTACTTCTTTTACATAATGTAAAAGTTTATCATAATTGTTGTATGAAAATAATACAATAGGTGCAATGCGCATTGCACCACCGTTACCGTAAGAGCCTACACCGTCAAATAAATTCTTTGCTGGGATTTTTATATTTGTTTCCTCGACACATTTCTTCCATTCTTTCAGTACCTATAGATACATTGTGTGTGTGTGTGTGTGTGTGTGTGTGTGTATGTGTGTGTGTGCATACACACACACACACACACACATATAGCAGATTATTATAAATTAGTATTTATCACAAATTATAATTATAAAGGATTTATAATTATATAGAAAAAGGAAATTGCAAAAGTCTCTTCTAATACATGTAAACTTTATATTACGTTATTTATAAGAAATAAGACGTTTTTTACATATCGAGAAAAAACTTGACTTCCGAGATAAATTTATATAGATTTATTTTTAATACTCTTTTAAAATAAATTAAAGTTATATTGAGTAAAATTATTTTGATATTTATATAATATTGAATGATAGCCAGTAAAATATAACAAAAGAAAATCGATCAATATGAATATACAACCAAGTAGAAATGTCTAATTAGTCAGAGCTGAAAAGCTGTTTTTTTTAATATTCTAATGTCGTATCTAACATAATAAAAAGATGTCATGCTAGTAATGAAAAAGTCGGTAAGTTCTCGTTGGAAAATCGCTACTTTAATGAAGTTATTAAAGAATCTAAGTAAGGAATCAATGATCTTTTCTTAGTTCCTTAGTGAATCTAAATGTATAAATAAATTATATTAAAGAATTTTATAATAATTGCAAAGTATCTTTCTCTGTTGAATGCAGCCAATGATTTTCATAACTGAATTATTTCTTCTTGCTAAAATTTAGGAGGTGGTAAGAGCTTTTCCCAATGTACGCTCATACATTGAGTGACAGATGAGGATGCCTGCTAAGCCCTGCCTAGTTGGAGCTTTATGGCAGTTGTTTCTGCAGTTGTTATTGCTATGTCTGAACAAATAGTACCGAGTATCCTTGTGCATTTATGTCTTCAAAAACATTACTTTTTAAAACTGTACATGCAATTTACACAAAATTTCAACGACTGTAACTTTTCTTTGTAAGATACTTGATCAATGCATGAACTTGAACAATATTTCATATAATATAGCTATTCAATGGACATTCTCAGGACATCTTTTAAGATGCTGTTTGAAGAACTATGTTATGTGAGACGTTGTGCAACAGCATTTGATACTAATTGTTTATAAATAAACCATTCTCAAATATTAGATAATTATCGATCAATATATTAATACATATTATATTAGTAAAAAACTAACAGTTACAGTACCAGCTCCGTAACCACGATCAGGCCTTTCATGATAACTTTTTGCAAATCGCTTAGCCACATCAACAACATCCAGCTCTTGTTTCTCAATCAATGATTCAGCTAAGGCACGTGTCATTGCCGAATCATCTGTGTACTCCATAACAGGCTCTATATAATTAAGTTCTCTGTATAAAAAATTGTAGCTTATTTCATATAAAATATAAAAAACGTAAAACATTTGTAGGACATTTAAGAAATATTTCTCGATTTTTATATTTAAATAGAGAAAACATAAGTTTTAGTACATTATATATACTATAAATATACTGATAATATTAACATACTGGACCTTATAAACAAATGCATTATTGAAGGCAGGGTTCAATTTAGTTAACATCGAATGCAAATTAAAGTTATTCCATCATATGCAAGTTGGTTTTGTTACAAATTACAGATTTTTGCGACCTAACCTCTGAACTTCGTATCCCACAATTGATTCAACCGTCGCTGCAAATCGCTTTTTTTCTGAGCTGAAATAGTTTTTAAACCTTCGTATGGGCTCCCAAGGCAATCACCGACCAAAACTCCTAGCATCGTGCCGCGAAATTTATTTTTCAATAATACCGGATTCATCCCTGATGTTATGATTATGTGAAAAGTGAAAATCTAACCAATGTTGTCAACTCATTGCTACAGTTTCACTCTAGATTGAATTTGAAATTCCCCCAGATTCCCCTAAATTCTAATTTTCATAGGAAAAAAAGGTAATATCAATAATTATATTTATTATTATATATTATATGCATTTTTTCCAAGTATGTCCCGTATGTATACTAGAAATTTGCTTATTTTATACAATAATATAAAAAATAATATAAAAAAAATTGTATAAATAATTAATTATTTATATAATTAAATTGTTGATTAAATATGATTATTTTCGTAAATGTATAAAATCTGTAAATTTTTATATTATAAAGGTTATTAAAGCTTATACATATATTCGAAGTTATAGATGCATGTGCACTTGTCATGACAATGTGCGAGAACGTATTATACTGCTTCGATACGCGCATAAATTTTCAATAAATCATTATATCCTTCAAATCCTTGTTATTTGTCAACATTAAACAAGGATGAAATATACGATTTACTGTTACGCTGTCTGCTGGAAAACGCTAATTAATGCAATTGTGTATATATGTATGTCAATATAAATTCAATTAAGTAAACACAACTTTGCCTTTGTTCTGGAGGAGATCTGAAAAGTTTTTTAATCGACAATCTTTAACTATGTTCAATACAGAATTATTGCGTAAAACATTTATACAATCATGATTTTTTTTGTTAATAAGATGTTGTGCACGTTCACCCGGCCGAAAACAGGCTATTAATCGATCCAACATTAAAGTCACGCTTGAACTTAATAGAGAAACGGTGGTCGGTCGAGCCACCGATGTAATCTCCTGTTAATTAATTACGTGAACTAATTCCTAGAATCTACTGCAGTGAAGATAAGACAGGTGGTACTCTTAATTTGTTCTTTCGTGATTTATGAAATACTTAAAGGTCATCTGTTGCACGGAGCTTTCTTTTAAATTACAATATTTATGTTTGAAAAAATGGCTTTAATTTATCTCACGTTCTAGCAAAACATAAGAACGCTCTGAATTGCTGTGGAGAATTATAAAGAACAAAATAATCG